TGTAATATGGGCTGCTGTTGGACTGAATTTAGTTGGATTGGGTTAGACAGATTTATGTTTTTAGGCAGCTAGTTTTCCTTTACTTTTGGATTTTTTATTTCCAAGGATATGTTTGGTCAAATTTGTAAAAGTTTTAATTTTTTGATATTATTTATATTTTATAAATTTAAATTTTTTTATTAAAAACTTATATATTTTAATTTCTTTTTAACCTTAAAAAGATCTAAAACAATAAATTTTAAAAAGTTTCAAATTTGTGCTTTTTATAAACTTTTTTTCTATTCACTTTTTACTCATTTTTTTTTATTTTTAAAAGTAACTTTTAAATTTTTTCTCCAATAAAAATTTAAATTTATTACTTATAAATAATACAAAAAAATAAAAACTCTTACAAGTTTCATCAAATATGCTCTTAATCACATAAGTTAGGTACCATATTGTACTCGTATAATTGATACTATCTAGAGTTTAATGGAGTTTTTTTTTTTTTTTTAATATTAGGGTGGAATTTAAACCCTACACCTTCAAATTTATAAAAGAAATCTTTAATAAGAGAATGATGACCATTAAGTCACTAGAATGTTCTAAAACAAAGTTGAATTTCTATATTACTAAGTAATTAATTCTTTATTCATGTAATTTTATTTTCCTTGAATCAATCATGTTTGGAGATTAGCTTATTCAAAATGGATCACTGACAACAAAATTTAAATATAAAAATAAGTAAGTGGAAGAAATTAAACTTTAATGAGTTGAAACTTAATGAATAATAGTATGTTTCAATTATATGATCTAAAAGATCATAGTTTAAATAGCTTCATTTAAAAAAATTGATTGTGTTGCACCATGTGAGTAAACGTCTCTGTACTTCCCTTCTCTGTCCAAATCCCTGCCAGCAAGTGTAGAATTTCCACATGTCATGGAAATGTCACCAAATTTATTATTTCTAAACGATCCTACAAAGAAGATAGGGAATAAAAAGGAGCGTTTAATCGGTAAAAGCTGTGCTAAGAATAGCACAAGAAAGGAGAGGACCTGCGCAATGCAAGGACCTCCAATGAAGACTCACTCTGTTCATGGTATAAAAGCAGAGTGAAGAAGCTATTAGAGAGAGCAAAAAGCAGCTAAACCCATCTCTTCTCTCCTTGCAGGGAATAACAAAAATAGAGAGGAATTAAGGAAATTAGAAATGGGAGCGATGTGGATTGTGTTGCTCTGCCTCTCGGTGGTAACAACACTCACTGTGGTTCAGGGTGAAGACCCTTACCTCTTCTTTGAATGGAACGTCACCTATGGCACCATCGCTCCCTTGGGTGTTCCTCAGCAGGTCATCCTCATCAACGGCCAGTTTCCCGGCCCCAACATCAACTCCACCACTAACAATAACATTGTCATCAATATCTTTAACAATCTAGACGAGCCTTTCCTCGTCACATGGTACTTTTAAATAATTCTAACCCAATCAATTTTGTTATACATATATAGATGTTTTTGATTCAACTGTCAGGTTGTCTCTGTGCCGGTTTGTGCTCGATGTCAATATGTGTTGATGTTTTCTCAAATTGTAGGAGTGGAATTCAGCAAAGAAAGAACTCCTGGCAAGACGGGTTGCCTGGAACCAACTGCCCAATTGCCCCTGGAGCCAACTTCACGTATCATTTCCAAGTGAAGGATCAGATTGGTAGCTATATCTATTATCCCACCTTGGGAATGCAGAGGGGAGCTGGCGCTTTCGGTGGCCTAAGGGTGAACAGCCGTCTGCTCATCCCTGTTCCCTACGCTGATCCTGCTGATGACTACACCGTCATTATCCATGACTGGTGGACTAAGAGCCACACCACCCTTAAGAACATTCTGGAAAGCGGCCGGTCAATTGGCAGGCCTGCTGGAGTTTTGATCAACGGTAAGGTGGCCAAGGGTGATGGTAAGGATGAGCCTCTGTTCACCATGGAACCTGGTAAGACTTACAAATATAGGATTTGCAATACTGGGTTGAAAACATCACTCAACTTCAGGATTCAGGGACATAGCATGCTGCTTGTGGAAATGGAAGGATCGCACACCGTGCAGAACTCATACGAGTCCCTTGATGTTCATGTTAGCCAGTGCTATGCTGTGCTGGTGACTGCTAACAAAGAACCAAAGGACTATTACATGGTGGCCTCCACTCGGTTCCAGAGGAAGGAGATCACCGCTACTGGAATCATCCGCTACACTAACGGCAAGGGTCCTGCCTCCCCTGAGCTTCCTCCTGCTCCAGTTGGATGGGCTTGGTCCCTCAATCAGTTCCGTTCCTACCGCTGGAACCTCACTGCCAGTGCTGCCAGGCCTAACCCTCAGGGATCCTACCACTACGGTGCAATTAACATCACCCGCACCATCAAGCTCGCCAACACAGCCGCGAAAGTGAAGGGAAAGCTTCGGTACGCCATCAACGGTGTTTCCCATGTTGATGCAACCACGCCACTCAAGCTCGCCGAGTACTATGGGGTCGCCGATGAGGTTTTCAAGTACAATGTCATCGAGGATGAACCACCAACTTCAATCAAGGAAGTCACCCTGCAAACCATTGTCCTGAACATGACATTCCGTACCTTTATTGAGATCATCTTCGAGAATCATGAAACAGCCGTCCAGTCATGGCACCTTGATGGGTATTCATTCTTTGCAGTCGCGTAAGTCTCTTCACTCTGTTTTTTCTCCTTCCCTTAGTTCTCTACCAGTTTGTATAAATGCTACTGTCATAAATTAACGAATTAATTTCCAGCATCGAGGCTGGAACCTGGTCCCCTGAGAAGAGGAAGAACTACAATCTTCTTGACGCGGTGAGCAGGCACACTATCCAGGTCTTCCCCAAATCCTGGGCGGCCATCCTCCTAACCTTCGACAATGCCGGGATGTGGAACATCCGGTCCGAAATCTGGGAAAGGCGCTACCTTGGACAGCAACTCTACGCCAGCGTGATCTCCCCTGCACGCTCCCTCAGGGACGAGTACAACATCCCAGATTACGCTCAGTTGTGCGGCATCGTGGTGAACCTCCCCAAGCCTTCACCATACACCATCTAAACCACCATCATTCAGCCTTGCGCTGCGGCTCACATAGATCTAGAAGGTAAAGGGTGCGTGAGAGATGATGCATTGGGGTGCTTTTGAGATGAAAGTCGTGCATGTTAGATGATAGTACCCAATTTGCAGAAGAGAGCGCAGATGATCGCAAAGAATAAGAAGGGTGCATGGGAACAGTATTAGAGCTGATGATTGTGTGTGCACTTTCCAACCCTTTCTAAAATGCCCTTACATTTTTGTGTACTTACTATTTTATTATTTTATTCGATATTTATCTTATGTTTTAGGAGTTAGTTTTTTGCCAGACATTTTGCTTCTTTCCCTTCGTTGCCAAATGATTCAATTTTATAAATTTGTAATTTTTATGACCTCTCACGAAAATATTTCATTCTTCAAATTTCAGATATTCAAGAGCCCTGCTTCTACTTTAGGGTGTGTGTTTCTTCCTCTTCTTCTTCTTCTTCCTTCATTTTTTTCCTCTGTTTCCCCCTTTTTCTCGATCAAATGTTCTTTTTGGTCTCAACTAGCATTTTGCTAATTCCATATGCTAATATCAATATTTTACTTCTGCCCTTCGTTTTATTTCAACTTGCTCGTACTCTATATATTAGAAATTATCAAAATGCCTACGGAATTATGACTTTGTTCATCCAGATTATTGTTAGTATTTTAATCATTTTCAATATGAAGAAAGTTCTCTAAATTAATGAATGAATCATGGTTAAAGCCATAACATTATGCAAAACCCAAGCTAAAAGGTAATTGTTTGTCATGGAATATGCTCATAAGGTGTCTATACGTTGCCACTTAGAGTTGTCTTGGACTAATATTGGTTACGTTTAAGAATTTATTTGTAATATTATAAATAATTATTTATTTAATATTATATTAAATTTATTTAATGTTATAAAAAATTATAAATTTATAATTTATATAGTATAATGACTATAACATTTTTTTTTACTTATAATGAAATTAGTGATTGAATAGAGTCCAATTTTTATTCAACAAATCAGTTAATGAACTTTTATGTGTGTTGATTTATTATTATTTATTAATATTATGATTCACTTTTGGGAACTATGGGCCCAAGAAAAATAGTTGTGGGCCAGTTATTATTGGGCTGATTTTGCTCCCTCAGCCCGGTCGGGTAAAAGTGAAAATGTCGAGACCGGTTTTCTCAGTTTCTTCACTGGAAAATGAAAGCTCTGTTTTCCATCTACTCCCACAAACGACCGTCAGCATCTCTTTTCCGGCGCAAGCTCTTCTTCTCCGACCAATCATGGCTCTCCGAGCAAGGCAATCCTCTCATCAAGTGGCCGGCGCCTCCCCTGACCTCCACTTCCAGTTCATCCCCAAATCACTACACTGTCATTTGCAGTCTCTTCACGGATCCTGCCATTGCCTCTGCTTCCGCGCTCGAATCCGCCCTCGAACGGGCTGGTGTCCATCCCACTTCCGATCTCATCCAATCAATATTCGACCGGTTTGATTCTTCTCCTAAATTGCTTCATACTCTGTTTCTTTGGGCCGAGAAGAAGCCCGGCTTTCAGTCCTCTCCCGTTCTGTTCAATTCCATGGTCAACTTCCTTGCTAAATCGAAGGAATTTGAAGATGCCTGGTGTCTGGTTCTTGATCGGATTGGGGATGGAGATTCTTTGGTTTCTCTCGATACATTCACAATTCTCATCAGACGGTACGCTCGCGCTGGTAACGTTGTTTTTGTCTCCAATTCCGAAGTTAGGTTTTCATGCTTGCTTTACCTTTCTGTTGATGTCAAGTTGAAATCTTTGTGCTGTTCACATTCCCACAGGTATGCCCCAGCCTGCTATCCGTACATTTGAATTTGCAAGCAGCTTAAAACAAGTCTATAATTCTAACCAAGAGACTGCTTTGTTTGAAATTTTGTTGGATTCCCTTTGTAAAGAGGGCAATGTTAGGGCAGCAACAGAGTATTTCGATAGGAGAAAGGAATTGGATGGGAGTTGGATTCCAACAATCAGGATCTATAATATACTGTTAAATGGATGGTTTAGATCAAGAAAGCTTAAACATGGGGAGAGGCTTTGGATGGAAATGAGAAAGGAGGGTGTGTTGCCAACGGTTGTAACATATGGTACCCTTGTTGAAGGATACTGTAGGATGCGTCGTGTTGAGAGAGCAATTGAGTTGGTGGATGAAATGAAGAGTGTGGGACTTCAGCCAAATTCAATGATATTCAATCCAATTATTGATGCACTGGGGGAAGCTGGTAGGTTTAAGGAAGCCTTAGGGATGATTGAACGTCTTTCAGTTTGTGAGTCAGGCCCCACCATTTCCACATACAATTCTTTGGTGAAAGGTTATTGCAAGAAAGCAGATCTTGTAGGGGCTAGTAAGACAATTAAGATGATGATTAGCAGGGGTTTTATTCCAACCCCTACAACCTACAATTATTTCTTTAGGTACTTTTCAAAATTTAGGAAAATTGAAGAGGGGATGAACCTTTATACCAAAATGATTGAGTCGGGTTACAACCCTGATCGACTTACTTACCATCTTCTATTGAAAATGTTGTGTGAGGAGGAGAGGTTGGAGTTGGCAGTTCAAGTTAGCAAGGAAATGAGAGCAAGGGGATATGATATGGACTTAGCTGCTGGTACCATGTTAATTCATTTGCTTTGCAAAATGCACAGGTTTGAAGAGGCAATTAGAGAATTTGAGGACATGATAAGAAGGGGTATAGTTCCACAGTACCTTACCTTTCAGAGAATCAATCACGAGTTAAAGAAAAGGGGGCTAACTGAGATGTCAAGGAAATTGTGTGATGCAATGTCTTCTGTCCCTCATTCCTCAAATTTGCCAAATACATATGAACCAAATAAGGGGGGTGCTTCCCATGCAAGGAGGACATCTATAATGCGGAAGGCTGAAGCAATGTCTGATATACTGAAAACTTGCAAAAATCCACGAGAACTTGCTAATTATAGAAGTTCATCAGAGAGTGCTGTATCAATTGCTAGCCGCTTGGTAGAGAATATCAAGAAAAGAGTTAAGGAGACATGATATCAGTTAAGCCTCCTTTACTAGGATGGCATAATG